CTTATTATTATTTTATTTATTTATGGGCTCATGATGTGTCCCCTCTGTACACTTCACCATTCACAAACCATAGGCTGCGCTGGTGCTGCCAGCAGCAAGCCAAATGCAAAATGCATACAAACCAAAATCACACAATCAAAATTGCTATGGTGAAAACAGACCCTAACATGAGGTGGACAGAAGAGCAGGCAAATGCATGTAAATTCCATACTAGCAGGAGGATAAGATTCTGTGATGGAATTTACACTAGATGATAGAAACTCTGATGCTACTCTTGTCAGGGACTAGCAGGGAAGGTTGAACTTGTAGATTTCAGTATTTTAGTACAGTAGAAATGTAATGAACACGTTACCATGTTTGCCATACAGTTCACTGCTCAACACCAAACATGGTTGTGTTTCCAGACTACTCGCTTTAACAGGATATCCACAAAAAGGAGATTTACCCCTTTCTCAGATCACTCAACTCCCTCTACAATAGATAGACAAAAATCTTCTTCTGCTTGAGGTTTCATGTTTTCCTGTGAGTGCAGTTATTTCAGCATTGCCTTGAAGACCTGCAATCTGAGTAAGTGTAATGGCATTCTGTGAGCCACGGCTATTTGGATGACCTTCAGTCCACTAAATGATGTATACACTGTGAAATGTGTGTCTTTGTCATTGTTTAGAAGAGAATGGAATCCTCCATGTTCAAATTATCCTAGGAGGGTTCTTAGTTGAAGTTCCCTTTCCAGTTACTTAGAAATGCAACAATCAGCATTAAACCAAAGGGAAGCATAAAATCCATTTAATTTTCCTGTAAGCCATCTGGCAGCTACACAAAAAGATACTTATGTGTTCCTCATGTCTATATTTCACCAACACTGTTGTAGAAACGTATGCTGTAAATATAGTGTGCTTAAACGGCAACATATTTTCCCTTTGAAGCCTGGACTAACACCTCCCTCCCCAGAAATATGGAGAAAGAAAAGCTCCACTAGGAACACTGCACAACCAAACTTCAAAAGAGTTTTATTACTCAATAATTTAGCTGTGTTATTTCAATGGTCAAGCAGCAACACAATTGTCAGGAATAAAGCATAATGCCCCAGCTCTCATTACAGTACCCTAGTAATTATTGCACAGTACACAAACTACCAAATTCTGTTAACAGGCCCGTTGTCGGCTGAATCTGGTTCACTGGAATGCAGAAATAAGTGCAATCATGTGACCCAGAAGAGAAGTATGGACAAAACTTTGGCCATAAGTCTCTTTTACAGTGATACTAAAGGCTCCTTTTTTTTTGGTTAAAATAAAAAAGAGTTTATACTTATCTGCTCTGTACAGCAACTGCAAATAAAGGTCCTTTACCTCCTCTTCTTGAAGTCCCTCACCACCGCTGTCAGATTCTCCTTCCACTGGGTGCCTCTCTTCTTAGCATGGCGGGTGCTAAAGAGGCACCCATGCGCACGTTCCCAATCCACACACACTGCTGGTATGCCATGCCTCTTCTCCCTCCTCACAGGAGTTTGACTGAGGCAGCAGGAGCCTATGGCTCATGTAAGGGTTTAGGGATTGGAGTGGGTAAGATAAGAAGTGGGGAGTTTTTTACCTTAATGCAGAGAATATGATAAGGTAAAAAACCTTTTGACTTTAGAACCACTTGAAGCCCATGCAGTTACAGAAAAAAAAACATCCTTTATCTGAACAATGTTTACCTTGTCCCAGGTATAACAATCACACACATGTGGAAATTAAAAAAAAAAACCTAAACAATTCTGGTCTATATGTGATCAAAAATCACATTATAGCTGAGCACATCTGAACCATGAAAACAAGTCTGAGCCAACATGATAAAACAGGAGTATTCTGTGTGCCAGGCATGCTGTTTGTAATGTTAGAGGTGGCTTTTTGCCTTTGTGATCAAGGTTACATTAAAGACCAATCCTGAATTGGCCAGAGCGGAGCCTGCTATAGGTTTAAGTCTTTAAGGGAGACATTCTTCCAAGAGCACACTGCCCATTATAGAGTCTCCAAGTCTTGGCTGTGGTTAAACATCAACTGTAACAAATCAATTTCTGTTTCTGAGTTAGCTCTTTTGTCTGATCTTGTACAGCCACTGGCTGCCTTTACCTCATTTTCATAATTTGTGTTTTTTTCCTGGTGCATTATAAACTACTGAAAGCAAAACTCAGTAGATAGATTTCTTGGTAACTGAACTCTGGTATGATCTAGACCACAATCCTGCTCATGCTTTGTACCCCCCCCCCCCCCCCCATCCCCCAGTATGTTTGACCTGCTAGCTGCAACCAGAAAGGCCATTGTGGGGTTCATACACTGTGGGTGTGCCCAATAAATAAGCTCTAACTACACCATCAGTGGCTTTGGTGAAGATTAGGTTCCACACTGCTGGTGGCGAGAAGCATCCTAGGTGATGGATTCAGCATATGTAGGTGACGGATCCCTGTATGCTGAATATCCCTTATAAAGTATCACTTAATGCAACATTTGATATGTCTGTCCTAAATGTGGGCCCTGCTTTGTTCTAAAGAGCTCCACAGCTTTCTTCTAAAAAGCTGTGGTGTGTTTGTGGTATTTTAATTTGGAGAAATCACAAGAACAGTCTTTTCCATAAGCAAAGTTAGCAATCACATGTTCATATATATAGTATGAGCTTAAATGAGCATTCTTATCAATCATCTGTTGTCAACATTCTGTCAATCATACAAGTTGTCTAAAAGGTCACGGATCAGTCATACGGCTAGAAAACTTCATCAGTGCAGCTGCCCAAAAAGAAGGAAAGAACTCCCAAGTTCCTACCATTTTACTCAAATGCAATTTCTACACTGACCTATTCATGCCTCTTCACCCTGTGATTTCCAGCTTGATTATAGCTTCTTCTGCAATTCATTGCAATGCCCAGTGCAACAACCAATAGCAACTATTCAGACCTAAAATCTTACCCCTAATAAATTCACAAAATGTAATTTTATTACTCCACTTCACATTATCATAGCTCATTTCTGACCTTTCTTTACAGAATAAGTATAATACAGTAATACAGCAGCTCTACTCCATTTTTCAAAGTGTTTAGCATTCTTTTCTTTCACCACCAAGGTACGGGATTCAACACCTACCTATTGCAAACAGATAAGGTTGTGTCCAAAACTGTTTCTATGGCTTACATGTCTGTATGACTGCGGTACAGACATTAATTATATGTAAACATTTTCAACTATCTTATCTTAATTTCTCCATTTTGGACTGTTAAATATACCATTTAATGCGTTTTATTATAGCTGTTCAGAAAACAGTACAACATACATAATAATTTGCCATGAATCTGTTAAAAGGAGAAGTATGGCCAAAGCTCTTTTGACCATATTTCTCCTGTGGGTCACAGAAGTGCACTTAGTTCTGCACTCCAGTGACCCAGATTCAGTCAACAGTGGGCTAAAGCCCGCCGTCGGCTGATGTCACAGAGCTGGTCCAGGTTCTGTAGGGATCCCGACAATAATGTCGGGTTTCACTCAAATGCCTGACAGGCAGTTGGCTCAGCCTCTCAGCATGCCACTGAGATCCTGGGCCAGCAACTCCCACCCCTCGCACAGTCCAGAGCTCCAGTGAGTGCTGGAGGGCCAAAGCAGAGAACCAGCGACTGACAGTCACTGTCCTCTGCTCACTGAAGACTGAGAATTGAGCAGTCATGTGATCGCTCAGGTCTTGCTGTCGGAGGCAGTGGGGGACGGCTCAATCGGATAAATGCTGCAGCTATAGAGGTGTGTATTTAGGTTTTTATTTTAATTCCCGAACTTCTCTTTTAATCTTGTTAAAAAACCTATGATGCACTGTTGGTTAGCATGGGTATCAGCTCTGCATAGTTCATTCCGTGTAATAAAGAACACCTCCCCACTATGTTATGTAATTGAGGAAAGAAGGAAGTGTTCTGTAGTCCAAACAAGGAGCAAGCAGCCTAGGGAGATGATGCAGTGGATGAGCATTGTCAGCTTAGTACAGGACGTGTGTTACTGGCCGCATCATCCAGTGAAAATAAAGCGGGAAAATACAATTAATGCAGCTACAGGATAAAAGGACTGGTACGCTACAATGTAATACATTTTTGCTCTTAGGTTTAGGTACATTTTATATTGCAAGCAGAGGCTGGCATGTACTCTGTAAAATCTGCTGAATTTGTATAAATTATACTTTATATATAAATGAATAAAATAAATAATATTGGTATTTATCCATTATGTTACTCTGTAAATAATATATTCGCATACTATTACTGGTACCTGTTTTATTCACTGGTTGCGGCAATTTGCTCATACATTTTGCTATGCTTTTTTACTCCCTATATAAACACTTTTACAGAGGCACGACACTCTAATTATTCAATGTGCCCAGGACTCCCCAGTAATTTTGTCTTGTGTCTGGCATTATCTGTCTATCCTAACAGCCAGAGAATAACGGAACAGTAGCATTACAGATTTTGCATGTAACATTGAGAGGAATTCTAAGCTAAGCGCACATTACTAAGTGTATTCACCCACTGCCGCACCATAATTATTTGTATTGTCTTCACACCCCATTCTAGAGCTCAGTCGAATATATTGGCATACTTAAAATTATAATGAGATTCCAAACTCAAATAAAAAATAAATGAAAATTACTGCATAGGAGCTAGAAAACACAATAAGCCAAAACTTAACAAAAATCATATTCAGAATGCATTAAAGAAAACACAAAAGGCAAAAAGCTCCACTTACGGAGCATTATGTTAATCAACATAGATATTAAATGGCATCGGCGTAAAACACTTACTTAATAATAACTGTGCAGGGAAACATTATTTTACACAGCACAATACATGGATCGGTAGAGTGCTCTATGACCTTATTTGCATACATTTACTGTGTTTAAGTTTCGGTATTCACAAGGCGCAATGGAAGCACTGAGTCATTAATGTAGTTAATGGTGCGGGCTGCATGTTACCATCCAGTATAGCTTGAAATTCTCATTACTTACACAACAGCGTCTACGGGTGTCTCCAGGCGTGGGGAAGTGCAGCCCAGGATCTCCCCTGGTGACAGTGGCTTACTCTGGGGGACAGTAACTTTGTACTCTGAACGTAGGGCTTGGACAGCTGCCTGTTAATGGAAACACAGAAAAGAAAATATGGCATTATCCTATATAATAATGGCAGCAACAGAGAAAGAGAAAAGTGTATCTATACAAAAATGTATTATATTCACGTTACAAGTCCTTAGATGTGGTGGCTTCATTGTTTTTTTTTATCTTTTCCTTTATTCTCACCTGTAGGAATGAGCTTCGGTTCTGTCCAAACCCAGAAAAAGCAGTCAGTGCTCATGAGCTGTGGCTGGATTTTTTCCGAGATACACAGCTACATGTACACAAAGAGGCGTCGATGCCTGTGAAATCATTGACCTAATATGGCAATATGAGGTCAATGAAACTGACTTAACATGGCCATGTGGCCATATTAGATCCAAGATGTCACCAGCATCCACACCACTTTGTGCATGTGCAGTTCCAGGAGGTAATGACCCAGCTGCAGTTGATATGGCTGGCACTGACAACTTTCTTCTGGGTTCTGCTGTACTAGCATCTGGAATGAACCCAGAGCTTGCCCCTGCTTAGCTGGTGATTCTGATAGTAGCACAATTCTTGTCCTAGGGTAACAAGGATCACTCACTGTACTTAATATACAGTATGGAGCAGCAGTATTACCACTCTAGGACAGAACTAGAGAAACCTACCCACTCTTCTCTTCTCCATAAGGGAGGCGTTTTGTAATCTGCAGTAATAACAGGAAACAATGTAAATGATAAGAATGTAGCACTGCCAGGGAGCACATGAAGCTACCAATTTCACAAAATTTCAGGCAGGATCAACAGGTATTTTGTGCACTTATCAAACAAATATAACAAAAAGCTTTCAGTGGTAAATTTAACATACCAAAAGGAAGACAAGAAGAGCAGCTGTTTATTATTATTTACATACACTTTCAAAGAGAACAAAGAATATTGTTTTAAGTAGGGAACTAATGAAATTACCAAATAAATTCAATTAACACTCATCCCTATTTTCCTTCTAATAGAAGAACAGATAGAGGGCTTGGGTTAGACACCCTTCAAAATATTATGTCAATAGCCACCTTCTGCTGTGTATTATACAAACTGAACAGAAAAGAGAATGCAGTTTTACTATGATATTTTCCCCCCACTCTGCATACTTTATCAGTTGTGAATTACTAAAGAGTTCACACTCAGGAACCAAGATTCATACAGTATGTGCATATGACTTAAAACACCATAAAAGAAAGTCTGGATTCAAAGAAAGGGTTTTAACAGACAGAAAATTAGTGTAGAGTTGTCATTAGAATAGACGTAGAGGAGCTCTCTCAATGGGAAACACATTTCCAGTGAAAAGTGTCAAAGTTGGGCTATTCCTTCACTCTGGAAAAAGTTCCTTTTATTTCATTTTATGTTAATAACAGAGGAACAGACAAAAGATTCTTCTCAATCAACCAGGGAAGAAAAGATCTGGTTTTGTCCACTTTAATGCTAAACTTCAGGCAGATATAAACACAAGAAAAATTAATGTGGTAATCTGAACCACTGGTCTCCAAACTGCGGCACTTTGCTTGCTTTTATCTGGCCCTTGGGTTACTATTTAGATCCGTCGATACCAACAATGGGACATAATCCCTCCACTGAAACCGACGAAGGGGCACAATTCCTCCCTCACAACGATGGGGTGCTATTCCTCCAACTGACAACAAAGATGGGGAATTGTTTATTCCCACCGACGTTTCTACTTCCAGTGGCCACAATCCGCCCCCCTTAAGTCTGAAGGACAGCAAACTGGCTCTTTTGTTTAGAAAGTTTGATTCAATAAGAAGAATCTATTTATAAATGCAAATAATGCATATAGTGTAAATAACTGAATTTGACCTATGATTAGCCTTTTCTAATACCCTATAAAGCAGCACTCAGACTGGGGGTGGGAAGGGCAGCACTTGCAACCACTCATATGCCCTGCATTCACATGTGCTGAGAAGGAACAAGCTGATAGGAGGGGAAAGCAGAGAGCTGGCCTCAGTTTATAGCTGCTCCTTTGCTGACCAGTTACAAGTTGGAGACAAGAAGGTGACCCAGCTGTGTTTCCTGCATGTACTGTTTCACAGATGTGCAAATGTCAAGGCTAGGTGGACAGAAGTACATATCCAGCAGCAGTTCTAATAGATATTTATTTCAAGTGTGCATTTAGCAGTTTGTCTGGAATTTAGCTTTACAGACATAATGTTAAAGAAAGAAAATAAACAGTCCTTTTATCTCTTTGGGACCACACTGGCTCACCCCATCTATTGAAGCTAAAATAAACCCCATAAACCGAGAAATGTGTTTTACTGTTCCATATTTCTAAATTTAACTCTGACCCTACACTCGGACATATTTCTTGCTCTTGATCATTGCCATTTCCCCATGGTAGCCCAGCGAATCCAAGAAGCATCCATCAACTTGTTGTGATAGTTCTGCAATTGCTGTTCAAAAGAGATAACAGGAATCATCCGTTGATTTCAAAGGACAAAATAAAAGGATAATAGAGGTGCTTACGCTAGTAAGATACAGAACGTCCGAAGGCCGCAAAACCAGCATGATGAAGCTTCTATAATACACATCCCCACAGCCAGACAGTTATTTCAAGCTAGTAGAGGATGATGAAGTGAAAAAGACACAGAAAACTGAATAAACAGTTAGACTAGGATTGATAGGAGCAGGAAATCCTGACATGATTGGGCCATCTTCTCCAAGATCCTCTTAATTGTTCCAAAGGGACTGCTAATTTTCTGAGAGTGGCAGAGACCTGGGAACTTAACTAGTCTTTTAACCGTGGAGGCTTCCAGTGTGTGGGATGGTGTAATGAGAGATCAAAGGATTCTGTTTTCCCTTTGTGATTAAATGAGTAAACAATTTCCTCTTCCCTCTCCTCTACAGTATGAAAAATGAAAGAGTTATAGAGTGATGTTGGAGCGATTACTGCTCAGCGGATGGAATTTGTCAACATCCATTTTAAAACAGATGGTTGAGGACAGGGAGGACAGGGAAATAAACAACAAAATGATCACAGTGTCCTCGTTTTATACTCTGCAGACAAAAAGCAACTACCTCGGGTCGAATGCAGGACCATTCCACAAACTGTGAATCTAATTTCCTAAGGCTAGGAAAAGATAGATTCCTATTAAAGCGAACAAGTCGCTTCCAGCTTGCCAGAGTCTATGCTGTTATCCTATAGATAAACATGGATGGAGAAATGTATGAAGCTTCAGCAGACCCAAGGAGTGGGTATCCAAGCCCTGAAACAATATATTATCCCCTGTGGCATAATGATTAGCAACAGCAGCAATTAAAGAGATATCAGCAAAAATAATTTCCCCAGTATCCAAAATATTCCCTGCTGATCGAAGCAGACGCCCAGTGGTGTATTTATGCCTTGTGCTTCCCTAGGCAACACTTTTCAGGCACCCAGCTCTCCTCTATGTTAAGCTGAACTCCGGGCAGCGGCAGACCGTCATTGCAAATGATGAAGCTGACCAGTAAGATGGCCTGGAGGAGCAGCAGTGACCAGCATCCTGAGGGGACAGGTGGAGGGCTGTTGGGCTCTCTCAGCAGAAGTGCCAAGAAGAGAAGAAGACAGGAGGAGGGGCCATAACTCTCCTGGTACTCTTCTGAGGGAGGAATGTGAAGCGTCCGGACATGGCTGTGACCTCCGTGTGTTCTGCACCTACTGGAGGCAATGAATACTATACAGCTCCTGGGGACACCGACATGTCCAAGCAGGAGGGAGACATCACTGTGTCAGGCAGTGCCTCACCAGGTCCCCATCCCGGCCACTTGTGTCACTTCTTCCGTGGGGCGGTGCCTCCCCCCCCCCCCCCTCAAAATTGCCGGCACATGCAAATGCCTTGTTTGCCTTGTGGTTAATACACCGCTGCAATCACTGCTCCATTTGAAAGGGGCCATACTTTAGTTTTGGTATGAAATGTTTAGTTGATGACCCCTGCTAAGTATTCAACAAGCATGTAAAATACTGCAACAATCCCAAATACAGAAGCAAATCAACAACTGAGTGGCTTCTAATATGGCCTGGTAAGAGGCCTGACTTCAACCTTCAGAAATGCTTTGATATGGGCTAAAGGTATACAGCATACATGAACTGAAACAGCTTTGCATAGAGAAATGGGTCAAATAAACCTTAACCACTATATGTCTGATCAACAGATAAAAATGGTTTTGGTTCAGATTTCTTTCTAATAACACAGATTCCAGTAGTTGCTAAATTATTAGAGCTCCCTTACGTTTTCCATCAACAAGCTTGAGCGCGCAAACCATTTGTTCCACAAAGATTTGGAAATGTAAACTATTATACTGTGTGTGCTTGTCAAATGAGGCAAGCTGTATTATTACGACTTAGATGCACATGAGATCACATTTTAGGTGCCAGCCATGCAGAGATCCAGATAATTTCTTAGGGTTCAAATTTTTTCTCTAGCAGTAGCTGTTCACCTGATGCAAGGGAACGATGTAAAAAGTGTTAAATGCTTTTGTTCAGTGATTTTGACAGTTCTTTAAATTGACTAGCACACTTTTCCATAAAATATCAGAATTAAACCCCTCCTGAGTTGAGCAGCCAAACATAAATACATCAAAGTAACAGTGTTAGTGAAAAAAAAAAACAAAAAACAAAAACTTACCTCTGTTCATCCTGCATAGCATATACTAACTCCAGCACTGTGCGCCTACCAGAAGAGGCATACACCATCTTATATATTGTACTCTGTACCTGCTTAGAGAATCAGGTACAGTGGCATGGTACAACCAAACAATTTAAAAAGAAATGGCTGGCATCTCAGTAGGAGCCTAAAACTAATTTTTACCAAAACATCACATAGTCAAAGTCAACGGCTAATGTTTTGGGGACGCAGCTGATGTGAATTGTGCTACTAGTAGAGCGATAACTTAGTGTAAGTTCACATTTTTAAAAAAAATGAAAAGGTGAGCTAACAACCTTCATCCTCACTACCCACCTTGATGCTCGCTGTACTTACCTCCATGCGTGACTAGGT